CAGTCAGTGTAGAAAGTCAAACTTAGCTTTTTGTTTCAGCACCTGGTCAGCTTGCTGTAATTAATGGGACCATGGATTCAGAAAACGCTGCGAAACAATATTTGATCATCAAGTTGTGCCTTTAGGCAGCACCACACTCACAACTCTGCCTCGGAATGGCTTGAAATATAAAAATAAATGTCTTCAAGTGCCCTAGGACGTAAATTTGATTGTGGCATAATCTTAAACGATTTATTTGAGTTTAAAAAGACTCCTAGGAGGGTGAATGGAAACAGTTCTTCAAAAGAGAGTGGGTGCATAAATCCCCCCACAGTAACGTCAGAGACTATTATCCAGTCAGTTTAGTTTTGCATATTTCTTTTATGAAGCACTGCTTTATTTGTTTAATGATAAGCAGTTAGCATTGACCTGCCATGAAATTCATTTTCTTGCAGAGATTACCTGTGAACATTGATTTACTAATATTTTTGCAAATTGCCTTACTCAGCAACTAAAATATCTACAATTTCTTGCAGCTTAATTCTTCCTCTAACATACTGCGATGCCTCTCAATTTGTATAATCAGTATCTATCCTGGAGCGTATTTTTTGTCTTTAACTAGGACATATATTTAACTCAATAAGATTCTTACATTTTTCCACCATTGGAAAGCATTGACATGTTTTCCGTATACACATTTCTGATCTATTTCCAATGTTGTGAGTCATGCATGATGCTCTTAGAGCTCTTACAATGTGAGGTATTTTAACACGAATGACACGAGCAGCTGAATGTATTTGTTCCATTTGACATCTAAATAAAGCCGTTTTTAGCTGTGCAGTTTGAGGCATACACACATTTGACAAGGGACACATAATATTAAAAAGCCTCATGCCTGTGGCTCTGTCCCATTTTTCTCTCATACACATTTATTAGCCAAATGCTGGGTTTACAAAGACCTTACCCAGGAAGCAGAAAAGTAAATGTAATTTAAATATATGTAAATAACCTTTAGGAATTAGTTTACTTACTCCACTCGGTGTAAAAACTAATAATGTTTCTTGTTGCACAGCAGCTTATAAAATAAAAATTACGCTTTCAATATTAGAAGTGCTGTTTCATGTTCATTCATGTACAAATCTAGAAATGTTCAATTATTTTACCTGCCATCAATTAACACGCAGCAGCCTCTGGTGCTATTTTGTACCTCTAGGATAGATTTATTATTATTATTATTTTTTTTTTTTGCAGCCTTATTGTTTCTTTTCTTTTTTACAAAATCATCTGTGCCATAATTATTGGCAACCCTGCTAATAGTTTTGACATCACCTTTTTGCTGGTTCGTTTTCCAAAACAGTTTATAGGTCTGATGCATACGGTGACATCTTTGGCCGTTTCTCTCCGTTGTCTGGTTAAACCTTGTGTTCTGATCTCTAGTTGTATAAGATTAACAACTGACATTGCCATGGAAGAATTTGTTTCATTTGGGGAACAATTGATTTTAAATTGCAAATGTGTTTTCAGCCGCTGTCTTTTGGAGAGAAAAACAAAATAACAATTTTTCGCTGACAAGCAGAAGTGACCACATTTTATTGAAAATCTGTTATTTCAAATAGTCCATGATGTCATCACTCCAACAGGATTCCCAGGGTCCGCAGCATAACGGTTCCCCCACCATGCCTAACAGAGCATGATCTATTTTTCCCCTCCCGACTTTTTCACCTTCTGCTTCATGCCAGCACCACATGCAGAGTTTAAGGTAAAGTTCCCGTTTATTTAGCAAAGTCGTATATTGCTGTTCGTTTCAATAAAGGAAATGGATTGGAAATGAAAGTACCGTCAGACAGCCGTCACTCAGCATCAGCATCAAAATCAGTGCAAGTTTCTGTACTTGGAAATAAGAACAAACAGGTAAAACATAGCGTATCAAAAGACTAGCTTACATATCTTAACTATCAGTTGCTTCTATGGAAATGTTTATATATGAGAGTTGATGATGATCAAGGCACATCTCCCTCTGTCAAATTTTGACAAGTACACAGATGACCAAATATGTACAGAAAAATATTTCAGAGTATCCTTGAAGTGCCTTTTTTTAGCAGCATATGAAAGAATGAAAGAATCTGCAAACAGATTTTTGTTTTTTCCCAGCATGCCTCCCAAGTCTCTTGTTGGCAGATAGATCTTGTCATATGCTTGTTATGGACAGTTGGTGACTTCAAGATGCCACTTTTTGCTACAACACACAACTTTCTGCGGGCATCCATTCTCACCATCAACTCACACAGTTCAGTGAACCAAAACGGTGATCATTGGACTTCAGCTGGGGGTATTTTTTATTTTTTTCAATTCATTATTATTATTATTATTTTTTTTTAGAAAAGGTGACTTCTGACTATAAAACGGTGCTGAAACGATTTCTGTGTGACATAATGTTAGTTTAATTTCCTTTCAAGGTTTATTGTGGAGTTTACACACATTAGTTCTACTTGGAGGTATTTGGTTCTCCTATTTGCTTTTATTATTGCTGCATTTATTCCATAATTCCTGAGACTTTGACCAGCTTTGTTGCTCAATAAATATCCTTGAATTAAAAGTCAGATTTTTTTCGGAAATTAGCCTCCTGCACTAAAAGATGAAGTTTTTCCACATCCTTAAACGAGTGGCCTCAAAAAGTTGCTTACAAATAACATATTTAACCGAAACTTTATTCAAGTGCTTCAAGCAAATTTTGAACCCAAACACAGATTTATGTAATTCAATTGAACTTAAAATATTAAGAAGCAAAAGAAAAGAATGAGTTGTGTTTGTTTTCAGCTGCTTCATAGACAACCTGCCATGACTGCTGACCATAAATCCTGAAACCTTTGATAAATCCTGACCGTTTAGACTCTCCTGTCATTGTGATGAGACGTTTTAGCATCACAGCTCAGCCCCGTTACTGTCAGCTCAGCTTCTCCCTTTCTTATACCTCACATACTTTCATCACCCTCTGTGGTGAGCTCTGCAGAGTCAACACGCCGCTAAGTTACATCAATTGTGTCGTCTGAGCTGCAGCCCGTTTTACTGCATAGGTGTCAGTTCGTTTCTCGAGTCTTATTATTGCAGTTCAGGTTGATTCTTGGCTTTGAATTTGTTAGTTTGAACTCCTTAGGATGAAACGGCTAAGTGTGAGATGACACTTCTAGTCACCAAACACCAGACCAGAGGACACGCCGTTATTGCCCAGTCAATGGTTTAATTATCCACTCTAATCCTGCTATTTAGGGTGTAGCACCCACAGCTTTGACGTAATCTTTTTGTGGCACCAGTCTGTGAAACTCTTCAGTCTATATTCTCTTTGTTGTTTCAGTTATTTTTAACATTTGTCTTTACTGTGGCTAATTTCATCTCAGTATGAGCTCTTCTGTGAAGGTTTGTTAGAGAGCATAGTGAGCAAACATCATGGAGACCAAGGAAAGGACAGGTCAGAGAGGTTTAAATGCAGGATTAGGTTATAAACACAAAATATCCAAAGCTTTGGACATCAAAAAGAATAATGTTCATTTCCTCATCTGGAATTAGAAAAGGTCTGACACAACGGCGAAACAGCCAAGACCTGGCCGTCCACCTAAATTGACAGCCTTGGCAAAGAGAGCATCTATCATGTACGAAGCCAACAGGGCTGATGTAACTCTGGATCCAAAGCTCAGGGATGGAAATCTGTTGCCAAGGCAACTGTTAGTTGTGCACTCTACTAACCTGGCCTTTAAGGAAGAGTGGCAGAAGTAGAGAAAATATTAAAGGCAAGGCAAAATACATGCAGCTTAAAGTTTGCAGATACCAGGTGCTCTGATCACAGAACACAAATGTAGTTTTTGGGCCTAAATAGAAAATGCTGTCTGTGGGAAGGCTTTTGTTCAGCTGGTGGGAGTTTAGATGTTGGTGTAAGAGCGAGTCGGGCTGACCGTGGTGGTTCGAATCCCTGCTATGTCTGTCTCAGTTTCACCCGGCTTGCCTGCTGGTGTAATGTACCACCAGCGTGTGAATGTGTGCGTGAATTGGAGAATGACTGAATGTGTACAGGCCATTTACCTTTTTCCACCAAAGAGATGCAAAGATTGAGGCAGTGGTGCAGCTTCTGGCATAGCATTGACCCAAAATATACAGCCAGAACTGCAGTGGAGTGGTGTAGATCAGAGGAACCTCATGTCTTTCAACAGCCCAAATCTAATTGAGAAGCTTTGGCAAGACTCAATAATAGGTGTTTTCAGATGCTCTCTGTCCGTTCTTATTGAACTTAAGGTGTTTCTCAAAGAACAATGGGAAAGAAATTCAGGTAATAAGGTTTCCCCCAGTGTATTACAAGCCTGGTGGGCCACCAGGCTTTACTTGGGGCCCCCACCAAGCTAAGCATTGCTTATTTATTTTAGGTTTTTTAAATGTTAGCATTTTTTTAAGACTTTATAGTCAGTATTCAAGCAATAATCTCCCAAAAGTACATAATTATCAAGTGATATTTTCAAACTTCCTGTCAACTTTAAACATTTTTTTAACTCAAAAAGACAGCAGGCCACCAGGCTTAGCAAGTTTTCTGGGTTATATGTGCACATCTGGTGAAGATGTGTCCCCCAAGAAGACTGTAACTATGGCAACAAGTCATTATACAAGTTTTGACTCAGGGGTGCTGAATACAAATGCATATGCATGATTTGTTTTATGTGTATAAGAAAAATCTTGGTCTTCACAGTTAAGCAATACTTTGTGTTGGTCTATTACCTAAAACTGCAACAAATATTTAAAAGTTTCTAGTAGTTATGTGACAAATATCTGAGAGTTTCTTTAAAAACCTAACTGCAGGATCACATTTGTTATGGAAATGTTAAACTTTTGCAAACTGAATCTGTGCCTTTCTTTTTTCTTCATCAATCCTGTTCACTTTTTTTTAATGTTTGTGTGTTTCTCTGTATTCCAAAAAAACAAAAAAACAAAAAACCACACAGTTCAGTAATGGAGCTCTCTCCTCTTTATCCCCACCAAAGGCTTTGCAATCCTCCAGGCCATAATGGAGTCGGCTGTAGCCAATAACTGGCAGGTGACGGCTCGCTCTGTTGGGAACGTGAACGTCTCAACGTACACACAAATCATCCGGGAGATGGACAACCGGCAGGAGAAACGTTTTCTCATCGACTGCGAGGTGGATAGGATTGACTTAATACTCCAGGAGGTACTGAGCCAACACACACTGCCGCTTCGGCCTAGTTCTGCTAAAGAAAAGTAGCACACTGGAAGCAAACCTGCCCTTGAACATCAGAAAATAAATCTTTAAGATCGTGATGGGGTTTTTTTTTTTCTTCCCCTCTATCCCAATTTTTCTGCATGTTTTATCTTTTGAAAGAGAGAAAACATGTTTATTCCTCTCGTTCTGCAGACTTCATGGCCTTAAACAAACTCTGTAAAATAGGACAATTTTCCTGGCATTTGGCTCCACGCTTCCCCCCCCACCCCGTTTTCTCGTTATTACCCTAAGCTCCTCGAGTGCATCACGATTGCCTCACATCTCAAAATTCTCATTTTGGAAGCGATGTTAAAACAGGCAAACTGGGTGCTTTCAGTTAAAGCTTGTTATTCCCTGTTCTCTTTATTTATGCGCTCGTGTGTGTGCGTGTGTGCGTGTGTGTTGTAAGAGATCACCTGGGTTTAATTCACATAGAGGAACTGGATAACCTGCTCGTCTGTGTTTTGTTGGTGATCATCAGTCCCTTTTTTCCACGACATGTTTGCTTGTTGTTGCTTCACTGTTGAGAATTTTTAATGTTTATTTAATGCAGCCTATTAAATAGGAACCAAGTTAAGACTTTTCTGACTTTCTTGGATTAGTTCAATGTGGGGAACCCAGGATTTGAGCTTATAATCTTTTACTTTTTAAGATTAATCCAAAAACCTGTCATTTACAACGCCTGGTATAATTTTTCATGTTTTGGTAGGTAGCAAAAATTGTATGCCAAAACCTTTCTCAACATTTAGACTGAAACTTTTGCACGTTTAATTTCTTTGGTTCAAGTTCAGTCAGATTGAATGTTAATTTTTCAGACAGCACCACAGATTTTCCTTTGACTGGGCCTTTCTAACACAAAAATATTAGTTGATCTAAAACAGGAGGCTGCAACATTTACAACTGTTTTTACACTCGGATCAGTTAAGAAATCTTGCTTAGAGTCCCAAATGTTATATGAGGATTAGAAAAAAAAAAAAAAAAAATCTATTGTAGAAAATTCATTGTCATATTTAAAGAACCACTACTTTCCCTAAGGTTTTACAAAAAGAAGATGGATATATTTTCTTCAATGGAAATATATATAAAAAAATTCTAATTAATGACAAAAAACCATCCACATTTTTTAAATTATAAAATTCAATGTAATTATGTCATGAAAAAAGATAAAAACATTTAAAATCTGCTTTTGTTTATATACTGTATCTATTTGTAGCAGGGATTTATTGCCATTGTGTCTAATTTTGATCATTTGATTGAACAACTATAAATTCCTAATGATGTTTGAAAACACCAAGAAAAAGTGGCTGCACTATCAGAATTGTTTTTTTTTTTGTTTGTTTTTGTTTTTTGTACTGTTTTCTCTTCTTTTGGTTCCATTAGAGCACCAATAAATATTAAAATAAGATGATTACCCAGGGCAGTATTTCATGTTTCTGGAGCTTTGACTTCAGTGAAGAAGAGAATAAGTTGCAAATACAATTCTCCAGTATTTACCAGCATCTGCAGTGTTTAGGGTGACGTTTTAGTGTTAGTCATTTTGCAACACAAAGAATTTTCTATGTAAGCCAAAAAGTTGACCTATATGCAGAAATGTAGGCCTCCTCTGGCCAAAGGACCTGGTTGCACCTGTTTTCTACTTGGTTTGTTGCAAAACTGCGAACAGGACTTCTTATGACTTTCTTCAGTAACTTTCTTCTTGTGGGGTGCATCACTGATAGCTGTCCGTTTAACATATTCACTCACTCGCCTGAGCTGTGGATCTCCACAGCTGCTCCAAAATCACCATAAAGGTAAACAAGGTTAGAAACTTTTTCTCTATTTTCTTTTTCATCTAATATTTCTGTCACAAACCTGCAAAGGTGAGTTGCTGCTGACCTCCATCTAGTCATTCATAATTCACAAGTTGAGATGACGATATTTAGCTGCTTATTTACACTTTTGAATCCAAAAACTCGCTACTCACACCATTATATCATCCTCCCCGATGAAGACGACTTTACTCAATGAAAGTCAGCTCTCTCTCTCTGCCGCTCTTGGGATTCTTCCACCTTGGAAAAGTTCTTGAACATTTTCTGAAGCTGAAATCTTCAATGAAGTATAACATTGTGATCCCTTTTCATGTTTTCTTTAAAAGAATCCTGTCATTTTCCACACTTCGTCCCTGACTACTTGCTGAGCTTGTGTCAGAAAAGAAAACCATCCCCGCAACACGATGCATCGGAAATGCAGAGATGGTAATCAAAATGAGCAACTTGAATTCTTACACACACACAGTTGGGAATTGTTGCCAAATAATTCCATATTTGCTTCGTTAAGACAGGATTTTTCCTCTTATGGTCGGGGTATCCCCAGCTGACCGTTATGTGGCTTTTTTTTTTTTTTGCTAAAGCTCGACTCTTGTCTGACCACACTGCCAGACTCACAGAGCAGTGCACTGATCGTTGTCCGCCTGTATCATCTACTCAGCCTTATGGCTTTCTGTCTGACCGAGTCGCTTTGCCTTCATCACTCCTCATCAGTGTTAGTCAGGGGATCTGGGCAGCCAGATCCACAAACACTGATGTCGTTCCCAAACCTATTCAAACATTTTAAAATGTACTGTGTCATTGCTTCAGAAAACAGGTTTTGCCTAATTAGCCCTTTTACTAAGTGTCTGATGGAAAGGAAAATAACCAGGGTTGCTGTTTGAGTGCTTTGACTTAATGTGAATAATTTCACTAAAATGACCAAAGTGCTTTTTTTTGCGTCTTTGCTTATGTGTAGCAGAAAATACATGTAGTTACCTCCAACACGCCAAATCTGACCTTTCACACACATTTCACTGCTCTCACCAACTACCTTGAAAATAATCTTGACCTTTCACCCCACACCGAAGGATCTTTCCCCAAGTCTTTGACATGCTGAATGTTATGGCTCTTGCTCAAAGGAAAAATCTTTGGTGTCTCATCTGTTATGTGAATATTTGTCATTTAATAATTTGGAAAGAACAACCTCATTAATCCACATAGATTAGTTTTGACCGAGCCAACAGCCTGACCCTCAGGTGGGCCGTCTCTTTGCTTTTTTATGCTACGGTGGTATTCTGGTGCTGGGAAAATCAATGAGCTCAGAGTCCTAAGTGCTTAAGAATACGGCTTTTAATTTTGTAGTGTACCTCGGTGCAGTATTCTCTGAAAATGAGCCCTCATAGAGGGTTCCTATGAATGCCAGAGTGAAAACTCAGACCAGGCGCCACGACAACGCACAAGGTGTAACGTGCAGGGGTGGACCAGGTGTGTTTGGTGCGTGCCCTTCACCCCCAGTTCAGTCCATCAACAACTTGCTTTAAGGGTTTTGTAGTTCAAAACTTACACAAATCGCTATGGAAGTACAGGCCATTTACCATTTATCTTAATTTGAGTAATAATTATAATTTTTGATTATGTGTAATTTCTTTGTGATGAAGTAAATCTTTATTCTGATAAATATCCAGACTTCTACACATCATGAAGATACAGATATCTGCATGTAAGTTGATTATAACCAAGAAAAAATTTAGCCTTGGATTCAATTCCAATGAGGTGCAGTCAGGTATTATTAATAATAAAAAAAAATGTAGTTCTTTACAGACAAAATAAAGAGAACATAGAAGATAAAAGCTGAGAAATATGTGTAAACTAAAAATAACTCAATTTCAAATCATTTTTAAAATCTTTGTAGCTGGATTTCCATGTCAGTGCTTCCTCTTTGCGTGTGAAGACACTTTTATCCTCATATAAAAGCTTCAGTGTCTTAACCTTCTGTTCTTTGTTGATATTTCTGAATATGACGGCTTCTGCCCTGCACATAATGATCTTCTTTACAGCTGGACAGACAGACTTTACTTTGACCTTCATCTGCATCTGTTTCCATTACCTTGGACGCGGGGAGGTGGGAGGGGGGGTATATTTATATATTTTACGCAGCTCCAGGAAATGTATGATTAGCCAAGAGAAATATGAGTTTCTCTATCTGCCCTTCACAGTCACACAAAGCGTTTCTTCAAACAGTTTTGGATTACCTTCCCATTAAATGTAAGCCGTCCAGTTAGACACCGGAGGTCTCTCTCTCTGCAGCACATGAAGCAGATTCTGAGAGGATTTCTTGCTTGCGGCGCGTTGAAGTCGAGTCAGATTCGGCAGATTTTCGTCCCTCTGCTGGCCACGCCCTCACCTTGTGAGGATGATTCCTTATACAAGCGAGAGTGACATCAACACTTTTTAAAATGTAATATCAGCTCCTGTGTAAGTAGGACACACTGTCCCGTTGCAGCAACAACAATGAGCCTACTATAAATAGCCTACTCTCCTAGCCTGAGGGAAGATCTCTCATGAAGGCAGGAGTGAGCAAACGCGACTTAGATCAGTCAGGCATCAGCTGCTCTGGACTTGATGTGTTTTTCAATCAGTGAGACGTTTACCTTTCATTTTCTTTTGATAAATGCAGTGCAGTCAAGATGCCCTATCAAACCATCGATGCACGTTCCTGATATGCAGACAAAGTTCAGAGTAACATAAAGTAACCAATCATGAAACAAGCAATAAACATTGTACTTTGTTAAATGCCATCAAATGTACGTCAAATCAATGTTCCAGTTACGATTAATTAAAGGCATCTTTGCAGTTTTCTGGAAGTTCATTCCCAATTCAAGGGTCATAAAAAATTAATGCTACTTCTCCATGCTTGGGTTTGGTTCTGGAGATTCAGAGGAGACTTGAACCAGAACACCTGCATGGCGTAATCAGGGTTTCCCCCAGTGCATTATAAGCCTGGCGGGCCACCAGGCTTTTCTTGTGCCCCCCACCAGGCTAAGCACTGCTTTTTTTTTAAGTCTCTTTAAAATGTTTGCATTTTTTAAGACTTTATAGTTGGTGTTCAGACATTAATCGCTCAGTCTTTTAAAAACACATAATTATCAAGTGATATATTCAAATTTTTTGTCAACTTCAAACATTTTTGAACTCAAAAACACGACGGGCGGCTGGATGAATGACTGCCCTAGTGAACAACCACCAGGCTTAGCAGGTTTTCTGTGGGAA